CTTTTCAAGCCCTCAAAGAACATAGTAGACACCAGTCCCTTCATGAGTCTGCTTTACATTTTAAGACCCATGGTGCCCGACATGATCCTAAGGCCCTGAGCCCATGTTAACCTCACCTTTTCAAGCCCTCAAAGAACATGGTAGACACCAGTCCCTTCATGAGTCTGCTTTACATTTCAAGACCCATGGTGCCCAGCACCGCTCGGTCTTCTATTGATGGCCCAAAAAACACGCGAATAACGAAATGGTTAAATGTGAATTTTGGTCCCTCAATATTGGACTTCTGTATAGTTTTAATCCCTTAATTTTTTATGCACTTTTTTACTCTCTCATTATAAAAAATACAGTTTTTTCTTTCTGTCAATTAATTAATTAAGTATATATATGTGCATATTTTTAATCACTAAACTTTTCAATAGATGGATAAAAATTATGTAAATTCTTAAAGTTAAGGAATTAAAAATATGTAAATATAAATAAACTTAACAGACTAATTAATAAAAGAACTAAAAAAATATATTTTTTATAGTTAAAAAACTAAAAATGTGTATAAAAAATTAAGGGACCAAAATAGACATCGCCCTTTCCTCACCACATACTTATGTAGAAACTGATTAGTAGTTTCAGTAGTTTTTTTTATTTTTTTTTTTATGATGAATTATCGAGATAAAAGTAACATACATTTTTGCTAATGAACAAAACCCACCTGCATCATTCACTAAACACACACTTTTTTTTTTATTTGAACAATTAAGATGTTTTTAAATTAATTTTTATATGTTTTGAGACTAATTCCTTCCGTCAATATCTTTAAAAACATCCTATATTAACTAATTATATTTATAAAAATTAATGTTTTTAAATGCTGATCTCCAAACTAATTAAATTCTAAATCTAATTTGTAAAACAACAGTTACTTATTATTGGATTTAACTTGGCTGGATTCCAAACACAGTCTTATTATTAGTATTTACATGAATGAGCAGCCTGGTTCAGTTTCTCCACAACTGGTCCAGCTGTCGCAAACGGGTTTCCCATGACACGGAACCCATTGGACTTGCCCGCCACAGTAACATGGGCCCCAAGGCCTTCCGCTGCAGCATTTACAATAACAAAACACGTGGGCTTTCAGATCTACAGATACTTTCACATGCTTTTCC